ACAGCTGCCCTTTTAATGCATAAGTAATGCATGATATGGGCACTCTATTTATGTGGGCACTTTGTGTGTGATTTCACCCTCTGTGGAGGAACTGCTGAGCAGAATTGCATGCTCTGTTCTCCCAACCTCCACAGGTAGATTTAAAGCCACATAGGGGAAATCTGCATTGGTCTTTCCTGCTGCTGTGCCGGCAGTCCCAGGATCTGTCATGTGGAGAGCCCTTTCATATATGCACAGCCTAATATGTGTGTACAAATGTATCACACAGACTTCATTCACCTCCAAATCAACACACAGAAGCCTAAAGAGGGAAGAGTGTGCACTTTCTTACATGGTCTCCCTCTTCCTCTCACACCCATATACTCACTAAAATAACCTCTGAAAACAATGTATATGAAAGCTGTGAACAAACAAGTCCAACCCTGTTTCCTTTATCATCACAGAAGGAGATGCATGCTTAATAACCACAATAATAAGGGAGCCACTATTAGGTCTCATAAAGGTCTCCTCTGGTTTTTACACCATTGTCAAGAAGCAAAACAGACAGGTCTTGTCTTAGACTTTTCCTACATCTAGCAATGTGGAAATGATATAACTCTTCCCAATTCCCCACTTTGGACTGGAATTTATTTATTTCATTGTCCCACATAAATAGAGACTGAGACCATAAAATGACACCCCTACTAGAAACCATTGCCCAAAGTAAACTGCTTCACAGTGCTTCATAATAAGGCCTATCCAGAAACATATTCTGTGCTAGACAGAGAAATGAAAATACTTTTATCAAGGTCAATCATCAGATCTGCATATAACAATTTTAAAACAAAATAGATCGGACTTCAATGAATTGATCCCATGGCACGAAGATCATAGAGACAACACTTGTAGAACAATGAGGGTGGAAAAACCATTGAAAATCCCCACAATCAATACCTTATGGTTGGCTTTAAAAAAAACTGCTTGGGATGTGTAGAGAACAGGGTTATAAAAAACTTGGAAAAACCTACCAAAGGAGCCAATTTTCTTCTTTAACCCTTTGGCACTGAGGGATTTAAGAGCGTCTGGAAATCCTGACTTCTAGTGTTGAATGTATCAAAGCAAAACACAAAATACCTCACCATCTTCAAAAATTGGCAAAAGAAATGGAGAACCTAGAAGCTGTGAAAATGAAGTTAGCAAAAAACAGAGAGGGGTGGAAACAGGATTGGATTCTTGAAAAGCTAACTTCCCTGAACTTACAAAAAATATATAGCAAATCACTGGGTGCCACGAAAACTCCATTTTGTTGGCTTAATGTGACTTTTGGATCATTATTCAGTGTTTTGACAATCACTCAATCAACACATATGATTTTGCTACAGTCATACAGTCATATTCCTTCCTAACGATAGGACTGTTCTTTCCTCACAATATAACTAGCCCTGTTCACAAGTTACACTGTACACACATACAATCCATGTACAGTGTACACTGGATTGTTCTTTCTATGTGGGTTGAGTCTTATGTTACAGTCAACGCACGTACAGCTGAACATGTGATACAGCTGCCACACTTATCCAGGTACTGGTCAAGAATGTGCATTGGCTCTTTCTTGCATACAGGCTTGATGTATGAGTATTTACTGTAAAATGTGGACAGGGCTGTCTTTTAGCTCATGAAGTGTTCTCCTCTCATATGACTCAAGACTGGATGGTCACTGTCTGCTTCCAGCACTCTGTTTTTTTGATTAGGTAACCAAGACAGTCTCTAACATGCCTCCCCTTCATCCTGAGACCTCGCTTGCTTTCCTTACTTGAAGTTCCCAGGGTCCAGGAACTCTGTCCTCCATGTCAATTAAGAAGTCTACTCTTCCAGCCAGCGTGGTGTAATGGTTAAGCACACCTGACTCTAATCTGGAGAACTGGGTTTGATTCCTCACTCCTCCCCATGAAGCCTGCTGGGTGACCTTGGACCAGTCCCAGTTTTCTCAGAACTCTCTCAGCCCCACCTACCTCACAAGGTGCCTGTTGTGGAGACAGGAAGGGAATATGATTGTAAGCCTATTTGAGACCCTTAAGGTAGAAAAAAACAGACTATGGCCCTGTCCAAACAAGAGTTTTTGGGCCGGGGGAGGGACGGATTGGGGCTGCAGCAAACGGGCGTGATCCCACAGCAACATCTGGGAATCGTGCTGCGCCCGTTCCCAGCCCGTTCCCAATCCGCCCCTCCTGGCCAAACCCCGCAGCAAAAAAGAACCACCTACCTAGGTGGTTCTTTCCGAAAGGCCGCATCACTGCCAGCTGTGGGATCGCCGGTGCGTCTTTCCGCCGGCTCATCCCCGGCCCCCGGCCGTACTGCACATGCTCGAGCATGCACAGTTCGGCAGCCTCCCCCTCCCAATCGTCTCTTCCTCCCCAGCATCTGATCGTGCCGGGGAGCAACGGTGCCACGAGTCAGGGGATCGTGGGATCCCGCCGCGGCGTCTCTTTTTGGGTGCGGCTTTTAAAACCCGCACTTTGGCCAGTGTTTTCCCTGCCGTGTGGCAGGGACCAATAAAAACCTACTGTTCTCACTCTTCTTCATTCACTTGAATTCTTTTCTCCATCCTGGGCCTAGGGAAATCAAATCCTTTGTATTCTGTTCATTCTCTAAAGTTACAATTGGGGCCAGAATCCTTGCCTGTATTGTTATGCCAACTTCTCCAGGAAATTCCTGGAGACCCAATCCAAGTTATCTACCAAGGAAGTTGGGTGGTTGTGGCTGTGCGTAAGTTCTATACCAGTCTATACAGAGGTCAGATGGCCAATGAGACGCTCGCTATATCCCAGGAAGTGAGACAACACGCTAGGATTAAGAATAAATGTTGTCTTTACTAAAGGTTTCTGCAGTCATACAAAATCAGAATCACACACACAGTTATACAAGCTCCTTAGTTACAATAGTACATCAGAACAATTACAGCATAGAAAATAACAAAAGCATCAAAATGGGGATGACACAATGGGGCACGGCTATACTCATCTGAGGTCCAGCTGAGGAAGAACTCTCCTCCTTGGAAGGATGGGCAGCCGAAAGCAGCAGCTTGTGAACTCCAAGGCACACAGGTCGGACCAGCCAAACCACGTGTGAGCTCTCTGGGTCGCGACTCCCGGAGAACTTAAGTAGTAGAGTCACTTGTAGCACCTTAGTGCACTGCTATGGGGAAGGTGGGTTAACCAGAGAGACAAAGGAGAGTTTCTCCTTAAATAAACTCTTTTTGGGGCATGTGCTATCCAGCCATAAACTATCAAATCCGTCCCCTAAACTATCACTACTGGATGAGGGGGAGGTTGACGAGGGGATGACGCTCTACTAAGGGGTGGTGGCAATATGCAGATCCTATCCCTACATCAAAGGTGCCTTTTGGTGAGGTGTGAATCTTCCGTTCCCATGGACACCTCTTGACTTGCAGATCTGGTGCCTGCTCCAAGGCCATAAATGCTATTGTCTTCAGATCTCCAAACCAGATTAGGTGCAGAGGGTTACGTGATTCCTGGCATTCCGGTGATGTCGGGGTTCACTGGGGGATTTTCCATAACTCTCCAAGTGGGTGCAATGGCGCGGTGTCTCCTCTATCCCGATGCAGGACGGGATACCTTCTCCAGGGAAGCACATGGTCCGTATGTGCAAGGCAGCCCCAGGCCAGCCTATTTCTAGGCAAGCATGAGATGCAGAACAAAGCAACACAACCAAACAGCAGTCCCTGAATACACAATGCATAGACACACATAGACAGCATCACCACTATACAGAAACACAAACATAAGTTCATATAGTTACAAGGAGCAGCACACTTACGATGGAGATACTTCAGAACTTTGGAGAACTCAGAGCTCTATTTGCAAAGATGGTTGAACTGTAATTGGCTGTAGAGAATGGAAGTTCTGTTGTGCACTGTAAATGTTCTACTTGTTCCGAAATTGAGGAAGAGCAATGGGCAAGTATGTGGAAATCTGTCAAATACATGAAAGCGGTTGCATATAAAGAAAACGTTTATAAGATGTTCCATAGATGGCACTGGGCACCAGTTAAGTTGGCCAAATGCTACAGGGGATATTCCGATAGATGTTGGAAATGTAAAAGTGGCAAAGGTACGTTTTATCATATGTGGTGGGAATGTAATATGGCACAAAGATTCTGGAAAATAGTTAGAACAGCCCTCCAAGAAAGTCTAGGTATAAACGTAGCATTAAAACCAGAAATATACCTGCTAAATATGATCCCCAAAGGTTACAACAAACAGGATGCGTATATAATTAGCTATATCATAACAGCAGCCAGACTGTTAATAGCACAAAACTGGAAATCTGAAAGCTTACCCACTAGAGCAGATTTGATAAATAAAATTCTAGAACTAGCCAGAATGGACGATTTAAGCTTAAAGATGCAAAATAAAAATGAGAAGGTACACAAAAGGAGATGGGATAAGGTATATATATGGATAGAACATCAAACAGAAAGGTAACTAGAAAAAGATATGACACGAACTGTAATACTGAAGGTTGCACCACCAAACAGATAAGCTAAATAACTGGAAATGAATGACTCTGAATTGTAATCAAGCCAATGAAAAATGGATATGTATATTCTTTTATTGAAAATAATAAAAATTTAAACACACACACACAAAAAGAATGTTAATTTGTGGCTGCGCATCACTTGTACATTCTGCAAGGATACCTTAGCCTCTCTTTAATAAGGATTCATAGGTAAATTGACTGCTTAGGATTGCTTTATGTAATAAAAGGTACAAAAAGTATAACCAGACTGTCATCATTACACTCAGGGCCGGCTCACCCGCTAGGCGGACTAGGCATTCGCCTAGAGCGCGGGCCGGACCTGCCCCCCCGCCACAGACCCCCCGCCCCCGCCAAAAGCCCTTTGCCCCGGCGCCCAGCAGGAGCCCCTTCAAAACCCGCCAGAACTTCGGGGCAAAAGTTGCCGAGATCCCCGAAGGACGCCCTCATTGGCCTCGAGGGTGCGCCTGGCCTCCGAGGGAGGTGGAAGGAAAGCGCCTCGGCTGTCCCGGCCGGAGCCCCCTCCTGCCACGCAGCAGGCCCGTGGCCTCCGACGGGAAGGGCGGCGTCAGTGAGCCGCCAAGGGGTGAAGCGCCGAGGCTTTTGTGGTGGTGGGGCTTCTGAACGCGCCTTCTCCTCTCATCGTGGCTGCGCAGGTGGCATCGGTGTCCAAACGAGTCCTTTCGGGGGAAAGCGCAGCCCTGGTTGGTGCAAGGAGGAGGGCTGTGCGGGTGCCAATCCACCGGCAGGGCGTTTGTTCGGCGGCTGCTCGGTGCGCCTGGCAAAAGAGAGAAAGACCCGCTGGCTTCGCCCCCGAGCCTGACTGCCAGGCCAAGCTGGCCCGGGCCTCCTGCCCGCCTCTCCAGCCAACCC